CCTGGACGACCCTGGCACGCATAGGGAGACCACCCCCTGCGCACCCCCTCTGGTGTCGAGAAAGTGCCACGCCTGCTATGCCTGGACGACCCTGGCAAGCATAGGGAGACCACCCCCTGCGCACCCCCTCTGGTGTCGAGAAAATGCCACGCCTGCTATGCCTGGACGACCCTGGCACGCATAGGGAGACCACCCCCTGCGCACCCCCCTCTGGTGTCGAGAAAATGCCACGCCCGCTATGCCTGGACGACCATGGCACGCATAGGGAGACCACCCCCTGCGCACCCCCCTCTGGTGTCGAGAAAATGCCACGCCCGCCGTGCCCTGCGCCATGGCCCGCATAGACGCCGCGCTCAGGGACCACCCGCTGCGCCCCCCCTCTGGTGTCGAGAAACTGCCACGCCTGCCGTGCCCTGCGCCATGGCCCGCATAGACGCCGCGCTCAGGGACCACCCCCTGCGCACCCCCTCTGGTGTCGAGAAACTGCCACGCCTGCCGTGCCCTGCGCCATGGCCCGCATAGACGCCGCGCTCAGGGACCACCCCCTGCGCACCCCCTCTGGTGTCGAGAAACTGCCACGCCTGCCGTGCCCTGCGCCATGGCCCGCATAGACGCCGCGCTCAGGGACCACCCCCTGCGCACCCCCTCTGGTGTCGAGAAACTGCCACGCCTGCCGTGCCCTGCGCCATGGCCCGCATAGACGTGCTGTGCTGTGCTGTGCTGTGCTGCTGTGCGGTGAGCTGTGCTATGCTGTGCTGTGCTGCGGTGAGCTGTGCTGTGCTGTGCTGTGCTGAGCTGAGCTGAGCTGAGCTGTGCTAAGCTGTGCCGTGCTGAGCTGAGCTGAGCTGTGCTGAGCAGTGCTGTGAGGAGGAGGGGAAGAGTGAGGTGTGAGTGTGAGCGTCGCGGGTGCGGCGCGGCAGGGAAGAAAACCAGAACCCCACGAAACATGTGGGGAAATATATCGGCCATCCGCGACGTCACTCCGGGAATATCTCGTTTCATGCGCGACACGCAACATATTTCAGCGGTCCCACCCGAGAAATGCAGGACAAATGAGCCCCATGCGCGAAAAAACGACTGCGCGGCGGCCACTCTTTCCCACGCAACCGGACACCTGGAAGGCATGCCATGCGCGCGACGGCGTCCGAGTTAACAGCCAGCACGCGCCCAGGAAACTCCGACGAGGCCTCAGGACGCCGACCACGACGTCCACAGGGCCCCACTTCGCCTGGGGGTCGGCGGAATGGCGCGAGCCTCTTGAACGGTAACAGTACTAAGAGCTAGAACCATCGCTTCGCGCGCTCTCCAGTCCTACACCCTGCGAAATGCTTAAGAAATCATGGGTTAAGAAACTCAGAGTCTCAGAATTTGAACAAAAACCCAGAACTTCTATCAAAATCTTGGGATTCACATTGAAACGTTAAGAATAATCGAGACTCTGGCCGAAAACTTAAGTTTTCTTAAGCATCGCCTAAGGTGTACATGTCATGGCGCCAAATGTGCAGCGCGTCAGGGGGTCCGTGTCCGGATGCTCGGGTCCTTGGCTTGGTCGCCTTGAGGCAGTGCGTTCGCGGCAGTCCTGGGCAATCCTTGGGCAAGCTTGTAACTCTCTTCGGGACCATTTGAGCCTCCGAGGCCATCTTGGAGCCACGCGTTGGCAACAGATGGGAACTCCAGAAACAAAAAAGGAAACCACGTTGGGATTCCTTTTGATGTTTGACTGGTCTGGACCTCTGGGAAGTCCTGTGCGGGCACTCTGGCGGCTTCTTGGGGCATCATCGCGCTGCATCGTGCGGCCTGGGGGCCTCCTGGGACCGTCGTGGGGCCCTCTTGGAACTTCTGCATGGCTCCGAAGGCCTCCTGGGGGAGCTCGGGAAAGGCTCCGGGGAGGCCCCCGGAGGGGAGGCGCCACTGTGATGCGGCCTGGGCCCCTGGGGTTCGGGCCTCCAGTATATGGATAGCAGATGGCGCTACCAGGAGGCAAGACAGAGGAAGGTGGCAGGACGAGTAGAGTGGAGGAAGGCGGGAGATGGCGGAAGCTAAATACGGAGGAGGGATGGGCGAAGAGGGACGGTGGAAAGAGGAGGAGGAGAGGAGGAGGAGGAGGAGGAGGAGCAGGAGGAGGAGGAGAAGGAGGCTAAGGAGCTCAGAGGGAGGACAGGGGGATGCAAAGTGAAAAGGAAAGGGATAGGGAGGGGCAGGGCGGAGGAAGGAGGGATGAAGAGGGGATCACCGAGGCGGGGAGGAGGAGGATGGACGGGGCAGGAGGGCGAATGTACGAGGTAGAGACCAGGAGGCGATAGGAGGAGGAACAGGGGGGAGGAGGAACGGAGGAATCTACACAGAGGAGTATGGAATAGGGTTGGATGAGGGAGAAGGCGGAAGCATAATGGACAAGAGGAGGAGAGCACATGAAGAGAGAGGATGCGAAGTGAGAGAGAAAAGGTTGCTGAGGGGTGGCAGGCGAAAGGATGAGAAAAGCGGATGAGGAGGAGGAGGAGGGGGGAGTGGGAGGGGGAGGGGGAGGAGGATGAGAAAACGAGGATGAGGAGGAGTGAGGGGGAGAGTGTTTGCATACCTGTGTCTTCGATGAGAATCGTGCAAGATGTATCTTGTAGTCTCTACGGGGGCCGCCTGAGACCTCCTGAATGCCTGTTCGGGTCTCTGAAGAAACCTCTGGGCAGCCTGTCGCAGGCCGTTCTGAAGCCTCTGCCTTTCGGGGCCTCTTTGGCGCCTCGATTGGCCCTCTTGGGTCCTCTCGGGGGGGGGGGGTCCTTGGGGGCCTGCTGGCGGCCTTCGGGGTCCCCAGGCCTCCGACGCGCTGTCTTTTCAATGCGGGGCCCCAAGAGCGCTGGGCCACTTCCCGCGCACCCGTTCTTCGTCCCACGTCGTTTGCTGGCGGTTCGAGGGCCGGGCAAAGGCCCTGAGACGGCGAGGATCGAGGACCCATCGAGGATCGAGGGTCGAGGGTCGAGGACCGATCGAGGATCGAGGGTCGAGGATCGATGATCGATCGAGGATCGAGGATCGAGGACCGATCGAGGATCGAGGATCGAGGATCGAGGATCGATGGAGGATCGAGGATCGAGGATCGATCGAGGATCGGCCCTGGGGCCCCCCTCGCTGGCCCGCGGAGCGCGCCAGGGGCGGCGCCGGTAGCGCGGCGCCAGGAGACCACAGCGCCGAGCGAAGAAATCCGCGCGAGCCTCCGAGAGTTTATGTGCTTCTGCCGCTGCTGCTCTCCTGGGCTAAAGGGGCTCTCACCGATCAACGGACACAGATCCCAGGATTCTCCGCATTTTGTCCGTATTTTCTGGGTCCTCGTCTTCCCCCTCGCTTCCCATATGTTCCCATATTCTCCGAGGGGATTCCCGTAATCTGCCGTATTTTCTGGATTCCCATGGTTCCCCGTATTTGTCCGTATTTTCTGGATTCTCGTCGTCCCCCCCACTTCCCATACGTTCCCACATTCTGAAGGGGATCGACGACCATTTGCGTCTGTGTGTTTCCCCCTTCTGATGCACTTGGGAGGCCTGGCCCGCCGTGCTTGTCGTCGTCGTCGTCGTCGTCGAGGTCACCGTGGTCGTCGCCGCCGTCGTCGTCGTCGCCGCCGCCGTCGCCGCCGTCGCCGTCGTCGTCGCCGCCGTCGCCGCCGTCGCCGCCGCCGTCGTCGTCGTCGAGATGGTCGAGGCTTGACGGCTCGAGGACGGGCGGCGGGCGCCAGGCGAACGCGGCGAGGGCAGGCTGGGCGCACGGCGTGCCCGACCAGCTCGACCTCCCAGCCCTCCGGCTCCTCCGCCTTTTCTGGAGCGGCCGAACCGACCCCTAGCAAGCTTTTTTCAAGCTTGGAAAGGAAAGGATGAGGAGGAGGAGGAGGAGGAGGAGGAGGAGGAGCAGGAAGAGGAGGAGGAGGAGGAAATCAGGAGGGGGAGGAGGAGGAGGAGGAAGAGGAGGAGGAGGAGACGGATTTGTTTGCTATCAGGAGGAGGAGGAGGAGAAAGAGAAGGAGGAGGAGGAGGAGGAGGAGAAGGAGGAGGATTTTCTTGGAGGAGGAGGAGAAGGAGGAGGACTCTTTCAGGCTTCCCTGTGGCCGCATACATACGTCCTGGGGAGAGGCGAGGGAGACGTCACGGAAGGGGATGATGGTTTGGTGGGGGTCGGTCAGGCCGCTCCACACCTTCTCGTCCGGCAGGTAGCCCGTGAGCGAGAAGCGCATCACGTGAACCTCGCGCGCGCAAGGAGGGGGAGGGACGCTCTCCTCCTCCACCTCCTTCTCCTCTTCCTCCTCCTGTCTCCTTATCCTCCTCCTCCTCCTCCTCCTCCTCCTCCTCCTCCTCATCATCATCATCATCATCATCATCATCATCATCATCATCATCATCATCATCATCATCATCATCATCATCATCATCATCATCATCATCATCAGCAGCAGCAGCAGCAGCAGCAGCATCAGCATCATCATCATCATCAGCAGCAGCAGCAGCATAATAATCACCATCATCATCATCATCAGCATCATCATCATCATCATCATCATCATCAGCATCATCATCATCAGCATAGGCATCAGCATCATCATCATCATCATCATCATCAAGATAATCAGCATCATCATCATCATCCTCTTCCTCCTCATCATCCTCATCCTCATATTCATCCTCATCCTCATTCTCATCCTCACCACCACCAACAGCATCATCATCACCCCCACCACCACCATCATCATCAGTACCATCAACATCATCAGCAGCATCATCAGCATCAGAGCATCAGCATCATCATAGCAACAGCATCATCAGCATGAACATCAACATCAGCATCAACCTCAACATTAGCATCATCAGCAGCATCATCACCATGACCATCACAATCATCAAAATCCACATCCTCCTCATCCTCATCATCCTCAGTAACATCATCATCATCATCATCATCAGCAGCAGCAGCAGCATCATCAGCAGCAGCAGCATCATCATCCCTCTCCCTCCTCCTCATCC